GGCCACTGTAGTACCTCCTACACACATTAATTCGTCAAATACAGACGTGAGCAGTATTCAGCTAGTTGTAATCTGCAATTTCATCACTAGATGCCACTAAATCCTAGGCACCGGCTCTTTAATTTTCTAGATTACTAGAATTATAAGCAAGTACCAGTAAATTTTGAGCAAAATGCTGACTTCAGCATGCTCACAGGGACAATACTAATATGCTGAATGTTTTAACCTGAGTGAAATCTTAGTTTAGTGCGTTAGCAAGGTAACATTAAAGTTAGCACTAAACAAAAAGTACAGCTGAGGTCAGGGTTTTACCAAAGTCATTAGGATTCAATCTCTGGACCATGTACATCTGCACTCAATTTTTAATGGAAATCCATCCAATAACTGATATTAGATTAAATATATATTTAGACTAAAGTGGTGGACTGACTGACAGACTGACATTGCTATCTCTAGAGCCATGCTGCTGGCGTGGCTGAAAAGATCCTGCCATTCCATGGCAATGGAGGCTGCGAGAGAATACGTTTCATATTAAATTGCAACTCTCAAGCGATTCCATTAATGACTCTCAGGCTTGAACCCTTGGCTGTGCATGTAGCTGAATTAAATACATGTTTATTATGATGCCTGCCAAGATATTAAAACATTTAACGTCCAGTGCCAGTATGGTCTGTTTGTGATCATAACACACAATAGGACAGATCAGAAAAATGATTTTATGACGAGGACATAACCTCGAGGTGACAGTTTCAATACTTCTGTCCGAGACTCGCCTACTTTGATTTGTCCCACATGACTCCTGCATCAGTGCATCATTCACATTTACACCATTTTTTTCAGTTTATTTTTTAAGGAGAACCATGTGATTTATTATCTCTGCCAGAATTTAACAAGAATCCTTTTTTAGGAGGTTGTTTGTTGATGCTCAGCTACTATCCATCAACAACTGGTCAAAAATCATTGGACAGTGAGTAAATGATCAAATTAAATCCTAAAGAGTATAGATAATCTGATAATTAGCTATAGGTGGATAATGAAAAATACATAATGTGTAAAACAACATCAATAACCACAAAAACCATTGATGGCAGTAAATGAAAAAACTTGAAGGATTAAAAAAACTGTAATAAAACATTGTTTTCCAATGTTCCTGACATCAGCAAATTATGTAATCACACTGACGGAGAACAGCATGTGGAACATCATTTTATGTTTCCAGTAAGTACTTGACCTAAGTGTGACAGGGTATGTGCAGTATGCACATGGTTTTTGCCAGGATATAAAGAAATTAAAGCCACATTCTGCTCAGTTTCTCACTAACAATATCTCACACCTAATATTCCATGGAAAACAACCATGATTATATAATAATAATGCTAAAAACAAGTTCCTAAAAAAAGTTTATAAATAAATAGATGCGACAACATCTCCTCCTCTAGGATAACCAGTGGGATCTAACTTGTTCCCACACCCCTGCAGTGGGGTCGGTCACTGCAGGATGACGTCGTCCAGAGTGCTCCACATTCCCACGCTGCTCAGCATGTGATATGGAGCCATTGGGACTGTGGTGCAACCAAGCATACACACACTCACACACAAAAAAACAAGCGCAGATGGAGATCAGGATGCATGTGCATTTAGGAAAATGCACGCAAACAAACTGAACACATCTGGATAAGAAAGCCTTAAATACTTAAGTCTGCCTGTAATCCAATGTGATGTAAGCTGGTGGACAGAGGTCAAGGTTCTCAATGTTCTGTTGATGGCTAATCATCACTCCAGCCAGCGAGCATGCCTCTGTTACATTGTCACATTATGGTAATTCCCCTGCTGTGCCGAGGCCATCACAACAGTTCCATTGTATCTGCACAGATGACCAGATACCATCGTCATCCACATCATCTTTTAAATCAGGACCAAACAAAACACACACACACAGACACACACACACACACACACGCTCCTTGTAAAAATCCATCCAATATAAACAATCTCTTCTTCAAACTTGAGCTCTCCTGCACATGTCTATGAGACGGGCATAACAAATTCTCACAGGAGGTATTTCCTGGCACTTTTCTATCACACATGGATCTGATATTGATCAACTCCTTGCTCTTCAGCTGACCTTTGACCTCCATTTAGACCAGGGCAGCAGGGAAGGGAATTTCCCACCAGGTATCAAAAGTATGAGATGAAAAGACCACTGACCACTTGATCACTGGTTCCTAATTAATGTGGGTCTCATAAAGATTCAAGCCATCCTTTTGTTTCAACTGATACTGAAGCATCATTACTACATTACTCTGTGGGAAAGCAGCAGAAAAGATCTTTGGCTGCAGAATTCAAAATATATATAACCCTAAAACCCCAAACATGTATTCTTGGAGAATCTTCAAGTAGCAGTTAAAAATAAAACAAATTTTTCTTGCATCGCTACAAAAATGATTATTAGACACCACTGGACTGACTCCAAATTAATTAAATTAAAATAAAATTTATCAAAAGAGTCCTCCACTGATTGACATGATAGACAATCTAACATCGATGCAGCAGAACTGGAGATAACATCTTTTTTAGTCCATGCATTACCCACAATTCAACTCATTCGCCAACGGTTCTGTTGGAGGTTTAGGTGTGTTATGCTAGTAGTGGTTAATGTAGCCTCGGGCCGCTAGCCTCAAACAGAGATGAGGAACAGGTTAGCTTACAGGCCCTGTAAGCTAACCTGTTTCTAACTCCACACCCCGAGATTGTTTTCATTCTTAAACTTGTAGTCTTCGGACCCAACCGATGCTGACTCAAGTGACATCACGCAAGGCAATTTTCACATATCTCCATCTAGAGCCACAAACAGCTTAATAAAACTTTTTTTCACATGTGCAGAAGTACTCCACAAGACCTGTAAACAGACTTTAACGT